TATGCTTTGAATCTCTCTGACTTCTCCTTCTGCCTTCCTTTTTGACACCAGCTGGAAAAAAGTTTTCTGCTTTTAAGGGCTCCTTGATTAGATTAGGACTACCGAGATAATCTTCCTCTCTGGAAGTCAACTGTGTCATATGATGTAATGTCATCACAGGAGTGATATCTCAACTTATTAGGGAGTGGCACCTGGCTGGGGGTTAGGAGTATATTTTTAGAATTCTAACTACCACAAGTAATAAAAGGAAACTTGTATATGTGTGTGCACCCACAAAGGTTCTCTACCCCCACTTATCACCATGCACAGATTTGCAGAACTGTGAGTCCATAAATGAGTACATATCTAGGAACCAGCAATAGTCAAAATTTCCCCCAACTTATTTTCTTGTCGTCACTCTGGAAATATAATGATCCCGTCATCTCAGAAACCAGTGTAGTCCTTGAGCTTAAACCACAAAAGAGTGACTGCATTTACAGCTATGTTAGAATACTACTTTGTGAACAAATTTTCCTTCATTGTTGTCCAAAGAATAGAAACCATTTTTGTTTGTTGGTTTTTACAAAAGTGCTCAATAGTGTGGGGCACGGTGTGGTGGCCCTTCACATTTCATAAGCTACCTCGGACCCCAAATCTCTTTGAGTTGTTGACTTTGAAAATACTAATACTTCTATTTATCTCAATGCTCATGACTTTTCCATCATTTAGAAATAAAATGAACTTTTGACTGTGGTCCCATCTAACAGTCTAAAATGTAAATTCAAAGAGAAGATAGTGCACGTGACTGAAGACATGAAAGCAGGATAGGTTAGAGTTAGTGGTGCAGCTGGGAATGAGGTTGAGTAGGGGCTAATATCTGTATTGGTATGAAGATTTACAGAAGAAAATATGCATAATTCTCCAGAACCCAATAGGGATGGAAGATAAATATGATTATGTTTGGATGGTACTATGCCAGCAATGCAAATGATAAATGTCCTTGAAATTTAAGGTGTATGAGGATTCTAGTTTTTTTCTCTCTAAAATAAATGGAGGAAGAATAAATTATAGAGGATGGCACCCATTTATACCTCCACTCTATATTTGACTTATGTTTTATATCTATCATAGAGTACATTTTTATGGCTTCCTTTGAGCTTCCCAACTACCCTGTAAAAAGAATGGCAATTAAAAAAAAAAAAAGTCCTTCATTGTATTTGCTCACTGAAACAACCCTAGTCGGGTGAGAGCTCAGAAATAAGGGACAATTGTGTTGTTAATGAGTTAATGTTCTACAGGACCAGCTGACTCAGACCTAAAAGTATGGTGTGGAGATGGGCTGGTGCTGGCTGAGAGAGCAGAACTGTGAAAGAGCTTAGAGATCTGTGGGGAACTGTAGTGTCAAAGAGAGGAGGAAAGCTTGCATAACAATGAGAAATACTTTTCTTCTTAAGTTGTTTGCCAAAGAGTTCAGAGTTTGGTTTAGGAACCTGGAATGCTACTGCATCAGAATTTTGTATAAGTAATGACAGCATGTTTGACCTAGAAAGATGAAATATATAAGGGTCAGACAAAAAAAAAACAAAACACTTTGCATTCTTGGGGACGGGGGGCTGAAACAGAATTGTGGAATTTGACTGGGAATATGAAAGTATAAGTAAATTTAATGAACCAATGAAAACTGTAAGAGCACAATTTTCATTTTAATCTACAATAAGCTGAAATCAAAATAGAGATCATGTACGTTTGATTTTCTTAATTGGCATTTACCTTGAACCAGAAATTCCTATTGATGTTAGAAGTACAGCTGGCCACCCATATCCATGTGATTTTCATTCATGGATTCAACCAACCATGGATTGAAAATATTGAAAAAAAAAGTACAATTTTTTTCTTCTTGATTTTCCCTAAATGACACAGTATGACAACTATTTACATAGTATTTATATTGTATTGCATATTATAAATAATCTAGAGATATGTAAAGTATGCAGGAGGATATGAGTAGGTTATACGCAAATACTATGTCATTTTATATCATGAACTTGAACATCCATATGTTTTGGTATCCAAAGGGGTCCTGGATACTGAGGGACAACTTTGCATAGTCTGTGCACTCTAAATAGTGAAGTGTGATAATCTGGCAGTGATACCTGGCTAATAATCCAAAATCCCTCCAGAACTTGTTGCAAAACAGATTCGTAGGCTTCACTGTAGACCTATTAAGTCAGAAGCTCCACAAACACATTTGAAGAGAAGCACCACAGAAACTGAAGGAAGGACTGGAATCTCAGGAACAGGGATCTCGGAAAAGAAACTCCTTGATATAGTTTGACTCTGTGTCCCCACACAGATCTCACCTTGAATTGTAATAATTCCTATGTGTCAAGGGCAGGACCAGCTGGGGAAAATTTAATCATGGGGGCAGTTTCACCCCAAGCTGTTCCTGTCATAGTGAGTGAGTTCTCACAAGATCTGATGGTTTTATAAGGGGCTTACTCTTTTGCTTGGCACTCATTCACTCGCCTGCCACCTGATGAAGAGGTGTCTTCAGCCACGATTGTGAGTTTCCTGAGGACTCCCCAGCCATGCAGAACTGTGAGTCAATTAAACCTCTTTTCTTTATAAATTACTCAGTTTTGGGTATTTCTTCATAGAAGCATGAGAATGGATTAATACAGTTAATTAGTACCAAGGTAGTAGGGTCTTGCTGTAAAGATACCCGAATATGTGGAAGCAACTTTGGAACTGTGTAATGGGCAGAGGTTGGAAGAGTTTGGAGGGCTCAGAAGAAGACAGGAAAATGTGGGAAAGTTTGGAACTTCCTAGAGACTTATTGGATTGCTTTGACCAAAATTCTGATAGTGATATGGACAATGAAGTTCAGGCTGAGTGGAGATGAGGAACTTGTTGGGAACTGGAATAAAGGTGACTCTTGCTATGCTTTAGCAAAGAGACTGGCAGCATTTTGCCCCTGCCCTAGAGATCTGTCAAACTTTGAACTTGAGAGAGGTGATTTAGGGTATCTGGCAGAAGAAATTTATAAGTGGCAAAGCATTCAAGAGGAAGCAGAGCATAAAAGTTTGGAAAATTTGCACCCTGACAATGTGATAGAAAATAAAAACCCATTTTCTCGGGAGAAACTCAAGCCAGCTGCAGAAATTTGCATAAGTAATGAGGAGCCAAATGTCAACCACCAACACATTGGGGAAAATGTCTCCACGGCATGTCAGAGACCTTCCCAGCAGCCCCTTCCATCACAGGCTTGGAGGTCTAGGAGGGAAAAATGGTTTCATGTGTCAGGCCCAGGGCTCCCCTGCTCTATGCAGCCTTGGGACATGGTACCCTGTGTCCCAGCTCCCTCACCTCCAGTGCTATGGCTAAAAGGAGTCGAGATACAGCTCAGGCCATTGCTTTAGAGGGTGCAAGCCCCATGCCTTGGCAACTTACATGTGGTGTTAGGCCTGTGGGTACACAAAAGTCAATAATTAAGTTTTGGGAACCTCTGCCTAGATTTCAGAGGATGTATGGAAATGCCTGGATGTCCAGGCAGAAGTTTGCTGCATAGGCAGAGCCTTCATGGAGAACCTCTGCTAGGGCAGTATGGGAGGGCAATGTGAGGTTGGAGCCCCCACACAGAGTCCCCACTGGGGCACTGCCTAGTAGAGCTGTGAGAAGAGGGCCACCATCCTCCAGAACCCAGGATTGTAGATCTACTGACATCTTGCACCATGCACCTGGAAAAACCATAGGCAGTCAACATTAGCCTGTGAAAGCAGCTGGGAAGAGGACTGTACTCTGAAAAGCCATAGGGGCAAAGCTGCCCAAGGCCATGGGAGCCCACTTCTTATATCAGCATGACCTGGATGTCAGACATGGAATCGAAGGAGATCATTTTGGAACTTTAAGGTTTAATGACTACTCTATTGGATTTCAGACTTGCATGGGCCCTGTAGCCCCTTTGTTTTGGTCAATTTCTCCCATTTGGAATGGGTGTATTTACCCAATGCCTGTACCTCCATTGTATCTAGGAAGTAACTAACTTGCTTTCAATTTTACAGGCTCATAGGTGGAAGGGATTTGTCTTGTCTCAGATAGGACATTGGACTTGGACTTTTGGGTTAATGCTGGAATGAGCTAAGACTTTGGGAGACTGTAGGAAGGGCATGATTGTTTTGAAATGTGAGGACATGAGATTTGGGAGGGTCCAGAAGTGGAATAATATGGTTTTGCTCTGTGTCCCCACCCAAATCTTACTTTGAATTGTAATAATCCCCATGTGTCAAAGGCAGGACCAGATGGAGATAACTGAATCATAAGGGCAGTTTCCCCTCACACTGTTCTCATGATGGTGAGTTCTCACAAGATCTGATGGTTTTATAAGGGGCTTTCCCCTTTGCTCAGCACTCATTCTCTCTCCTGCCACCCTCTGAAGAGGTGCCTTCTGCCATAATTGTAAGTTTTCTGAGGCCTCCCCAGCTATGCAGAACCTTATCTCAGGTATTTCTTCATAGCAGTGTGAGAATGGACTGACACACCCCTGGAATGCAGGAAAGGAGAGTTAGCTAGCAACAGAGGCTACAAGGTTGTTTTCTGAAGGCTACACTAACCACTCATTTTCATTAGCAGATATTAAAATTTATAATTTTTTTCAGACAAAGAAGCAGAGACTCAGAGAGGTTGAGGCTTGCCCAACATCATACAGTTAATTAGAGGCAGAGCCAGGTTTGGAACCCATGTCTTCTGACCTTTTTGACAGTTTTCACGTCTAGGTTCTTGACCTTGAGTACGTTCTTGTTATATGTTATTGAATATGGCAAGGATTTAGGAAAAGAAGATTAGAGGACAAAAAAAGAGACCCCCTCATTACACTTACCACAGACACTAAATAAGGGTCATCAAATAATGACTAAAATCACTGGTTACTTAGTGAGCTAACTGATGGATGACAATCTAAAGATTCATAAACATATGATATCTGTTGGTACAAATATATTAATTTTATAAAGAATTAATCTCACTGAATTGATAAGCATTTTATTGTGCAGAACAAACAATCTTAGATGAGGATTTTGCAGGCTGAAGGGCAAGTATGTTGACTTGTGTCACCTGTTGGTGAAAGATGACATTGCAGTCTAGCTGAAACTGCACATTTTATTTCATTTTTAAAAAATTTCACTTTAACTGCTGGCATACATGAGAACTGCACATTTTAAATGACCAAGAGTGAATCTAATTTCTAGAAGTGAAGAATATAAAATGATAATATTGTGAGATATAGCAGCCATTCTTAGTGCTTGAGGAAGGAGCAAAAGAAGAATAAAGCATCACAGGCATGACCACTTTGGGGGCTCAATAAATAATACCCCAAAGTATGGCACTTTGACATGCTAAACTGAAAAAGCAGCCTCAAAGATTCTCTGACCTTCCCTGCTTCCCTTTCACTCAATCTTCTATCTCTTCCAAAGCACAGAATGAGGCTGTTCTCTGATGTCCCCTTATCTACTTTAAAACTGGACCACCAAAAAAGAACACAACTGCCTTCAATCTCTTCCCTGAAATTTCATTAACCAGAGAAGATTAAAACTCCTGTCATAGAGAAAGAAACTGAAAATTAAACACCACACCTATAATAGAGCCCAGACAAACTTTGTCCCAAACTATTGTCTGTTCTCAAATCCCATTCAAATCCCAAAAATAATTATTTACTAACCATTGTCTGAACACTGGGTCCATTCATTCCCCCTAAAAAACATTTACTCCAACAACCGTCATCTTCCCTTCCTCTAAGAAGAAGGGCATATATGCTTCTGTACCCCATTGGGTTATGGGGTATTCATTTTGTGATTCCCCTGTGCTACACACATTAACTAAATCTGTATGCCTTTTTTACATATTAATTTGCCTATTGTCAGTTCATTTTCAGTGGATCTTCATAGGATGAAGGGGAAAGCTTTCCATCTTTGCCCCTACAGCAACATAGCTGAGAAATTGCTCACTGAATGATTGATGCATTAACCTACCTTCCTCAAACTTGCCGTTAGGTTGGGGCCATGTAGCTAGTTCTGACCAATGGGAGTGACGTGTACCACTTCTAGGTCCAGGAGGTTAAGAGCTGGTGTTCCTCATCCATCTTTCCCTTTGCCCTTTGTGGTCTTAGATGCTATATATGAAGATGGTGGTACCACAGAAAGAAGGGAGCCTTAATCCCCAAGTCACTGCTTGGAAGAGAATTCCCACCAATCTGCATTAAACTTGGTGAAATAAATTTTTGCTGTGTTGAGATTAATGAAACTTTGGTTTTCTTTTGTGGCAGTTAGCAGTTACTGATCCTAATGTAGTTTCTAACCTTCATGGAAATATTCAATTTGGTCAGTTTTTTACATGATTCCTACATCCCCCCACCATATGTCATTAAATGCATTTTTAATTGTATGAAAAGATTGATGGTAAAATTGTATTGATACTATGTAAATGTATTTGTATCATTTTGTTGGAGGCCACATATTCCGTAAAACAATGTAGTTAAATTTTAGGCATTTTCCAGGATTCCCAACAAGATTACTGATTATTGGTACAAGCAATACATTCAGAATCCAATCATAAATGTTTCAAAACTGGATTGTGGTGATGGTTGCACAACTCTATGAATATACTGAGAATAACTTGATCATATGCTTAAAACAGGTAAATTTTATGATGTATAAAGTATATGTTAAGAAGGTTGTTTTTTAAAAAGCCAACAAGTTATGGACATTTTCAGAAATTTTTGTCCATGTTTGCATGTCGATCACAATTATTTTCAAATATACTTCAAGGATTCCTAAGTACAAAGCCATCAAATAGGGCATGAGCTAAATAATACAGCCTTATAATCAGGAGAGCTAAGGATAATATCCCCTGGCCCAAGAAGAAGTCTTGCCAACAGCATCTATATAGTGAGTTTGGGCATGGTTTCAGTTGGCAGGTCCCCAACAAATAGGAGAGATGATGCATCATAAAAGATAGTACAGCAGGAGATAGTCCTCAGAACATGGAACACTTGGGAACCCTAAGAGAAAGCAGTTATCATAGATTACTAATCTCTCACCTATATCATAAGGAGCAGAAGCTAGAGAGTTAGCTCCTGCTGAGACACAGAGTGATGACTATAGGCAATTCTGAACAGAGCCATCCTTAAGGAAAAGGGGCAAATATCCCAAGGTTGCCTCTGGAATGCGTTTCTTCACTTATCTTCCCAAACCTTTGCCTGGGGTCCTTATGTTGCCCATCTGTCCAGGAGTAGAGGAAAATAAGATATCACATAATATTAAGCACAAGAAACTATTGGGAGCATATCCCCAGTGAAGCTTATAAGAAGTAGCTGGAATGAACAAGGCATAAACCAAAAGAATAACTCCATAGTAATAAAAGTAGATATGGAAATGACAAGCTGGTGTGGAAGATATTATTTTAGTAAAGCAGCCTGCCAAATATTCCTGAACTGATACCACATAGGCAACTGTCTATTTTGTAGCAGTAATAATAACTAATGTTTATTGAGCATTTACTATGTGTCAGGCCCCATGTTAAGTGCTTCATATCATTACACTATTTAATACTCTTAACCAACATATAAGATGGGTATTATTATCCTCAGTCTACAGATCAGGAACACAGAGGTTAAATAACTTGTTAGAGATTGCACAGTTAAGAAACAGTTTCTTGTCTACACCTTACACATTACAAAGTGCTCTGTACATTATTGAGATAGTTCAACAGAGAAACCACATATCCAGAATAGAAAAAGAAAAAGAAAAAAGACTGACATAATTGAGCGCTTAGATGCCAGGTTCAATATGATGCATATTCCCAGGTATAATCTTGTTTAACCCTCAGTAAAATCCTGCATGACCATTAGTGTTGTCCTTACTACAGATGAGTAAACAGTCTCATTCTTTCAACAAATGTTTACTGAGTGCCTATTGTGTGCCAGTAGGATGCCTGCACCAGAGCAGTCAACAAATAAGGCTCGTTGCTTGGTTTTGTAAAATTTACATTTTAGTGGGAAGGAGAGAGAAACAATAAATAAATGCGCTATGAAGAAAAATAAAACAGAATAAACAAGGATAAGGATTCCTTGTTTCCTTCCTCAAAAATAACCACTCTCCTGAATTTACTGTTTATTATTTTATTATTTACTGTTTATTATTCCTGTTTGTATTACATACACATACATTACATATGTTCCGGCATATGAACATTGCATAGTTCAGTTTTTCATGTATTTCAAACCTAGTATCATACAACAACAAGCGTTTGCTCTCTTGTTCCCAGGTCTCTATGTCAGCTGGGGCAGCAATGATTCATGTATTTTCATTCTGAGTTTGAAACTGAAGGGATAGTCTCAAGTGACATGTGCTTCTCATTGTGGAGGTCAGAAACTCCCAAAGAAACAAAACAAAAATATGATGCTTCTTAAGGCCTTGGCTCAGAATTCTTACATTATCAGTTCTACCCAAATATTCTACTGGACAAAGTGAATCTCATGGCCAAGGCATCAATAGACTGGGAAAATATACTCTTCCAAAAGATGCAAAAGATGTAGTGTGAGGAGGCATGAATACTTGATGAACAAAAATATACTCCATAACAAATATGTAGTATTGTTTTACATGTTTTCAAACTTTTGGAAAAGGTATGCTCTGAAGCCATTCTGCAACTTGCTTTACTCAGTCAACATTATGATTTTGAGATGCATTCATACGTGTGACTCCAAGTCATTCATTTTAATTAAGTAAATATATCAAATTTATTTTTCTATTCTCCCACTGGTAAATATTTGACATTTTCTATTCCAGATATCAATGACATTGACAGTCATCATTGTATATGTCTTTGTCTGCTGTTGTACTAGAGTTTCTCCACAGCAAATTCATAAAGGAGAAACTACATTTACACCTACATCTTCATCTTTACAAGATATTGACAAATTCTTCTCCAAAGTGTCTATGCCAATTTATATTTGAGCCAGCAATGATGACAGTTCTTATTTCTTTCCAACACTTGCTATAAATGGACTTTTACATTTTTACCAAACTTACAGATGCAAATTGTATCTTCTTGTTACTTTAATTTGTATTTCCCTGAGTTTAGGTAGTTAAGCATCCTATCAAGTTTCCTTCTAAGTTCATTACTCAATCATACCCTCTGCCTGTGTTTTATTTTTATTGAGTTATTTAGATTTTCCTTATTGATTTGTGGCTCTTTACATTGTTTTCATATTAATCCTTCATTAGCTATACCTTTACAAATATTTTTCTCCCAGTCTGAGGCTTACCCTTTCATTTTGCTTATGATACTGTTCATTAATGAGGCTTTTTTAAGTAGCAAATGTATCTTTTTTGATCACAGGTGCACTATTAGTTGGCTGGGACTGTTTCCTCACTCCAGGATCCAGGCTGTTTTCAACAAGAGTATTTTGTGTCACCATGGGAGAGGGAAAGGAGATCTCTGGAAGGGCTCACACTGGCAAATACTAATAATTCAGCCTGGAAGTGGCACATATCACTGCTGCTCACAACCCACTAGCTAGAACTAGTCACATGGCCCACTCCCAACAGAAGGGGACCAGAAAAGTCAAGCTGACCTTTTCATTAAACAGACATTTTGAAATTTTAATGTAGTCAAGTGCATCATTCTTTCGATTTATGGGCTGTGCCTTTTGTGTCTTTTTTAGAAGTTTCTTTCTATATTAAAGTCAAAACAATATTTTTCTAAGTTATCTTTTCAAAGTTTGAATTGTTTCACATTTAGGTCATTAATCCATCTGGAATTAAGATTCTTATAAATGGAGTGTTTTAGGGATATAATTTCATTTCCCAAATGTTATCGTTTGTTGGATTTGTCTATCCTTTCCTCATTGGTTAATAATGCTATTTCTATCATATCTATCTAGTTTCCTTATAATCATGAGTCTGTTTCTTGATCCTCTATTCTGTTCCATTTATCCATTTGTTCATCTCTGTGTCACTACCACACTTGTTAATGATTATAACTTTAAGTCTTTATATCTGAACACAAATGTGAAGATGAGCATGTAAACTTACACTAAAAAAAGACAGAATATTTATTGGAATGGCATTGAATTTATAGATTCATTTTGAAAAAAACCTGACATGCTTTAAAAAACATCTCAAGTCTTTCCATTCATGAAACCTATTTATGAATCCTTTTTGTCTTTTCCCACGTTGCTTTATAATTTTTCTCCATCTTTTGTAAGATTTAGTCTTAGGTACCCTATATTTTTGGTTGCAATTGTGAGCTGAAATATCTTTGTCCTTTTTTTCCGTTTTAAACTAGAATGCTCCTAAATTTTTTTTTTTTAGTACAATGTTTGCTAGAGGCTTATTAGATACCTGTTACCATAGAAGAATATTCCTTTTTAGTCTCAGTTTGCTGAAACTTTTTTGTCATTAATGTCTTAGGGTTGTAATAGTAGAGATAAGAGAAGTGTGTAGATAACAAATATATTTTGGAAGTAGACTTGTTAAGATTTGCACAAGGATTGGAGGTAGCAGCCCAGGGAAGGAAAAACATCAGAGATTATTCCGAGGTTTTGGCAGAAGTGCTGGTGGGGTTGGAGGAGAAAACTAATAATTTCCTGTTGCACAGGTTAGATGTGAGCAACATGACTATGTTTAAATCAGAGCATCATCAGCATGTAAATGAGATCACCTGGGGAGATTCTAGATATCGAGAGGAGCTATGTACCCTGGATCATTTCAACACTGGGAGGTTGAACATAGGCAGATGATCCAAAAAAAAGGATGAGAAGGGCTACCCAAGGAGGTAGAAGGGAAAACCCAGTAAGTATAGTGCCCTTTAGTTAGTAAGATGGGGATGATTACAAGGAATGGGTTTAGGATTGGAAGATTTGGATCTTGGTTATGGATATGTACACTCTGTCAAGTCTACCGGATATCCAAGTAGAGACATGGAATAAGTAGTTGAACATTTGAGCCTGAAGTTCAGAGACGTTTGGCCTAGAGATATTAACTTGGGAGTCATCAGTACTTAAGTCAGTGGTTGTCAATCTAGGCTGAACATTGAAATCACATGATGGCTTAAAAAATTTATATATATCCAAACCCTACCCTAGACCAATTAAATTAGAGCTTCTGAAAGTAGATATTGGCACTAGCAAATCATAGCTGATTCTGGTTTGCAATCAAAGATGATAACCATTGGTATAGACCAGTGCCTCTCAAACTTTAATGCAAATGAATCACTTAGGGATCTTGTTAAAAATGCAGATTCTGATTCAGTAGGTCTGGAGTGGAGCCAAGATTTTAAATTTCTAATACATTCCCAATGTGATACTGATGCTTTTGGACCATAGCCCACCCTTTGTGTAGCAAGGGTATAGATAACATGTAAAGCCATGGGATTGAATGAACTCACCAAGGGGGTGAGTATAGACAAGGAAAAGGTGCAAGGGTACCTAGTTTTTCTCTCTAAATAGGTGAGAACTTGGTGTAAGCATTGAGCAGGGAAATTATTACATTTAACCAGGGTTAGGGTTTTTTTTTTTTTTAATAAATATATGGCAGAATTAAAGAGGGGAAAAGAGTGGAACATTTATGCAAGGGGTGATTACAATGATAAACTAGGGACTCTAGTTGTGTAACTAGGATGGGGTCAAATAGTTGGTAGAGTGGGGATGTTAAAAAACATGAGATGAAAGAATAAGAAGTGTTGGTCAGGAATGGGAGATTTGACATCAGGACTTTAGTGATTTGTGTTTATTGTTGATATCAAGAGTGGGAGCTAAAAAGGTTGGGCAGAAAAAATATATTATTGGAGGTAAAGAAGTCAAAGTGTTTAGAAGCCAGTAAATTGGAAGATTGGTTCACATGATGTTGAAATTTCTAAAAGGACGAAAGAATTAAAAATAGAGAAGAGACTGAGCCAGGTGCTAAAGTCCTTATGAATGAGGGATGACTAGGAGGTCAGTAGATGATGGCAAAAATAAAGAGAGGGTGGTATGGTGTAGTGGCATCTATAGATTCTGACTCAGTTGAACTGGGACAAACAAAAGCATCAAATTTTGTAAAAGCTTCCCAGCAGATTCTAATGTCGACCAGGATTAAAAATCACTGCGTTAGAATAATCAATGCAAATTAAAATGAATGGGGCCACCGAATGATTAACTCCTTCTATAGTTGCTGAGAATTGTGGAGCCAATAGCCAGTGTTATCTTAGAATGTTAGTAAGCTCAGTTAACTGCCTTGCCCAAGGACACACAGCTAATAAACGTTTGAGCTGCAATTCAAACCTTGATTTGTCTGACTCCAAAGCCTGGACCGACTTCACTTTACCGTGTTTCCTAGGAGGACAATGTTTTAGTGCAGAAGATACTGAGATATCTTGGAAAGAAAGTCAAATTGCCCCAAATGAAATTCTAGTAAGCTACAGTGGGAGGAGACACTTTCTCTGGAATGGTTCTGATATTTACCGCTTTATTTACCCTTTTTCTCTCTTGAACTTTCTACCAGCTTTGATTCTCATCTATAGTTTCTACCACCTCCTCTAATGTCTCTTTCATGTAGCAGAGATACTACATGAAAGGGAGCCAACATCAGGGTCTTGCCAATGTGGATGCTGGCTGGCCCTGATGCCCCCCTGACTCCCAAGTACTATTTTCTGGGCCTCATTTCTGGAGGGGAAGGAAGGAGAATATGGCGTTGCCATATTCAAAACCTAGCATTTTGTCTCCCCCTACTTCTGCCTCCTAATGTATCAGCAGCTCTGTATAATGAAAATCTAAATTATTTGTGTGCACACATAGCAACTGTTTATTTGCTGTTAGCTTTGAGGACTCAGTGGGGGTTTGACGAGTTTAGAGAAGAGATCAACCCTGGGAGAGCCAAATCTCAGAAGCAGATGAAAAAAAATGAAGCTTAAAATGCATTTCTCTACATCTGAGAGAGAGGCCAGTAATAAATATCTTTCAACTCCAGCCCCACTCCAGCTCAGAAAATGCTCTTTAACCAAGAAGGTGGCTATGACTCTTTGGAGGGGCCCTGTCTGCTGTCTACTAAGAAAGCTTTACTGGGTATGGCCAGAGATTGATTGTGAGTTCTAGAAATAGCACACCTTTCCCCTCAAGCCACCAAGTAGGATGCCTTCCATCCTTTACAAAATATATTGAGTATTAGTTTTCTTGAAAGTTCCATTTTTTCCCATCACCAGGCTTCCTTGGGACCAAATACAATCTTGAAACTACTTTAAATTAATATGAATATTTCTACAGAAAGCGAAAGCCAGACTCTGAAGAAAGTGTCCCTATCACATATTGAAGGAGCTAGACCTTTCCTTGGCACAATTTATGTGACAAATGTATAAAGCCTCTGCTTCCCAGAAGCTTCCTCATTCCCTCATCCTCACAGGGTTGTCTCTCATCCAGCCAGGACTTCATATTGCCATCTACTCTTACATAAGCCAGAACTCCTTTCCCAGAGACCAGAACATTTCCATCTTGGCTCAGGTCACACGCTCCTGCAAGGCACAACCCACTGCCTGGAAGTCACTAGCAGCTGTAAGTGAATGAAAGCAGCTTCTCCCCTGAGAGCAGAGGTAATGAGGTGTGACATTAGAGAGACAGCACCACCGAAGACACACCCCAGTGACTTAACACTTGCTAGCCCAGGTGTAGAAATTTCAATCCTCTAGACACAAAAGCATGCCAACTAGGTAGTTGCTGCCCATCTGACATTATTTTCTGAAAGGAGTATCTTGCAAAATGGGCTCTTATGAAATACTAAATGGACTGTGAGTTAGTCCAGAAGAATCACTTCCCACCTCTCTCCCCCTCCCCAAGAGCTAAGTGGTTCCAGGGTCAGAATGGGCCCATAGTTAGGCACTCAGCCTGCATGCCCAGGCAAGGAACATGACAGCCAGCCAGGCATGGGACAAACCGCAGAGTCTTTTAGGTTCTTACCTCACTCATTCAGCCTCCACCTGACCCATGGGCTCTCCTTCCTTTCTGTACAATAGCAGCCCAAGACACAGATTTTGCTTCTAAAAGTTTTCTCCAGGCCATGGGGAAAAGAACCTAGTCTTGTCAGACATCTATGTAAAAACAAGGCCTGGCAGGAAAGAAACCAGACACAGGCAAGGAGGAATTTAAATTTGAATTGAACATGGGGCTAGATCCGTCTTTGAATATAAGCCCCTGCAGGCCTGGTTTCTTCACAGAAAAAAAATAATCTCTTTTAAATCCAGTTTCCTTTCATTGGAAAACAGGAGAAAACAGTCCAACTTAATTCAACCTGCAACTAACTCCTGCAAGGTGATAGTTATTTAAAGTGTTGTTTCAAATGACCCCCTTCCTCTTCAGTCTCCTTTCCAGGGTCCAATTACTTCACAGTGTGTTTAGGTGTCTGGGCCATGGAGGAAAGCAAAGCATATACTTCCTGGGAAGCAGTGCATAAGGCAATGGCATTGCCTGGTGGCTAAGAGCACTCACTGAAATGTTATTTTCCACTGGCCCCTCATACCCCCAAGATTCATTCTCCACCCTTCCCTGCCATGCTCTGTGCCAAAGGAGTCTGACCTCAACTGACTATAGCAACAGGCTTCTTTTCCAGCTGCTGTATGGCTGGATCTGGCTAATGATGGGCACTGGCAGGAGATCAAAGAGTGGAAAGAGAGTGAGATATGGGTGTTCATTCCCCTCTCTCCCTCCTTACTGCATTTGGGCAGAGACTACATTGTGCTACCTGAAGCAACAGCTCCTGTGAGGCAGCCCCTCTTGTACATGTGCAGTACTTACTGGATGCCAATAACACTGTTTTTCCCCTTTGTCTTTTCAGTGTTAGGAGTAGTAATAATAATAGCCCCTCACTGTTCATACTCTTTCTATGCCTCACCATCAGTGGTAAGTTCCCTTAACCCTGCACACACCATCATAAATTGTCCTTTCACTGAGCTCATCTCCGCTAAACTCCTTGAGTATACCGTCTTTTTCTTGGCAGGATTCTGACTTATACAGTCCCTTTGACAAAGTCTATCCTACAGAAATCCAGAAGGTCGCCTAGCCCGAGAAGAGAGATCGACTGATCCAACTATCTTTTCTGAAGTGAGCTATCTGCCTTTTCTCAAATATTTGACATATTCTCTATACCGTGGGCCTTCCTAAATTAAAGTTACATTATTGTGTCGACACAATAAAATTGAGGTTTAAGGTAGTTGCATTTTTGTTTTAGCTGTTCTTAGTCATCTTTCTTAAAGAAAGGAGGTGCTGCAAACACATTACATTGCTTCCTTCCCAGTGAGGTATGTTCAAGTTGGCCTTACCTTAAACACTTAATGCAGTTCCATGAGGGAGATAATACGTGAAATGAATTCAATCACCAGTTCCCTACCACCTGTTATTCATCTTGCATTTGCCATCTTGATGATAGGAGTCGCTCACATACCAGAGTGGTCATCCCAAAATTTTCACTTGCCAATACCTACACATATCCATTAGACAACGTACTTCCTAAATATCTTCTTTCAAATTCATCTGTCTTCTCCGGCTTCACAGTCACTACCTTCCTCCAGGCCTTGATCGTTTTATACTTAGATTATTGAAATATCTCTAGTTCTCCTCTTCTTTTCTTTCATTCTCCTCACTTTAGCCAAACTTATCTTTGAAAGCTACAAGTTTGTTCATGTCACTTCCCTTTCAATGACCCTTCTTCAGGATAAAATTCAAATGCCTTATTATGGAGTAAAAGGTCCCACGGAATCTGGCTACTGCTTCCCTTTTCAATTTCAGCTTTTGCCACCTCTTTTTACACCCATCTGTCATTCTAATGCTGTCTCCATGACTTGGCTGCCATCATTGCTTGTCTTGTGCACTCTTTGCCTTTGCTGACAAAGCTCCTGCTATTCATCTTTCGGACCCATCTTAGGTATCTTCTTTGCTAGGATGCTTTCCCATGAACCCCTTCATGCCAGGTTGAAGGGGTTGGTTTAATGACTTCTCTGTGATCATTTAGCTATTCTTCTTCACTTTTCTAGCACTTAATACACTGACAAGTACTTGTCGACATGTCTCTCAATACCTCACCACTATCCCTTTTAAGGTGAGAAATTGTCTTTGTCCTTTTATCCCCAGAACTTAGCACAGAATGTGTCACACAGTAAGATACTCAAGAAATGTTTTCTGAATGAGTGACTCAGTAATGAATCAACTATAGATGGGGGAAGCATTTAAATTCACTTACCTATGTAAAGCCAATGGAAGAATTCTGACCTCTCATGAGATGGAATGTAACTTATGAAGCCAGTTTTTTTCTATTTCTATCCCTCTAGGTAGGGCTGTACCAAAAACATGCTGGAATTATTAAGAATAGAAACAGATGAGCTGGCCTTTTGAATCACGGGCCCTCCTCATTCCCTAAAGCTGTAGTTATGGAACAATAGAGCTGGCCTGAATTAACTGGGGTGGGGGGGGAGGAGTGAGACAAACTCTGCCCCCAGGAGACACCAAGTTCTTCTACACCATCCATCAACCTTGAGCACAGATGGGATGGAGTCCAGGCCTAAAAATACATCAGCCCTAGGTGACATCAGTGCTGTGTTCTTTTGTGGCTAACTCGCCCCAGATGGAGGAGAGATCATTTGACGAACAGTCTTTGAAACAGGCAGATGAACTTATGTCACATTAGGAGTGACTATAGGGGGTAAAAGGCCACCGTGGATTTCCTAGTCAATAAAAATGATCTCTGATAGAAATTTCAATAAGTATCTAACAGAAACATCCTTGTCACTGTCACTGTCACCATGAATTTAAATTGATTGAGTGCCCCACAAATGCTAGTCTATTCTCAGTACATTTGATGAACACCATTTCTGTATCTCTAAAGGATTAGGGAATATTTGCTACTATATATTTTTTTTGCTCATCACCCAGTCAGAACACAAAATGAATGCCTATGAATATTCTAAAGCATAATGAGGAAGGGGGTCCAGGCTAAATGCAAGTATCCTTGACTAACGTTTTCCCCACTGTGAGTCACCCTCCCCCCTCTCCCGAAGCTTCCCCACAACCAGGGGGAAAAAGAAAAGTGGGGAAAAAGAAAAGCAGGGAAGAAAAAGGAAGAGTCAAGGTGTACTCCTGATAATGACACAAAAATTGAGCAGTAGTACTCCAGAGATGTTTGGGGGTAGCAATAAATACTTGGGAATGAACTGTGTGAATGGAGTGGTAGGAACCAGCCCTGCCCATCTCATGCTCCCTCCCTGCACAGCTATTCTTACCCAGCCTTAGCTTTGGATCCTATTTTGCATAAAGGAGTACTTTGGGTCTTCGGGTTAGCAGGTACTTGCCAGTTGGGTAAATGTCTGAGATTGTTTCCTCTAGATGAATTTTATAAACAGCCAGTGACCTACTGGCTAAAAGATAAGTGAAAATGAATGACAGTTAGTTTAAAAAACATGCAAACACTAAGCTACACTAATGACAGTTAGATGACAAATGGCCTAATCCTTAGTAGCTCTTTTCAGGGCTCTCTCCTCCCATTTCCCACCCTCTCCAATCTTCTTTCAAAGCTCAAGGTTTGAGGCAATGGTCAAGCTCCATAGCATAAGAATTGGTATTCCTCATGATGCTCTCCACCAATATGACAGGCTTGGGGTTTCTTCCAGCAAAGCAAGAGAGCCAGGTGCAGATCAACATGGCTGCAGCTGCTCCACCTCCAGCACAGTAATAGGCCCAGCCAAGCCGACACGTACCTGTGAGAACAGGGACAGAGAATGAGGATTGGGTTGTCTTTTCATATTTTCTCTTTGGTAATGAACTATAGAAATGACTCCAGAAAGTATAGTTTTTATACATTCTCTTTGAGATGCTATGGTTAGGGTGAGAATAGGAAACAGTGAATGCCCCTGGGCTTCCTATTTTCTTCTTTCCTTCTGTGCTGACTGCTGATCTTTGCTTTTTAGCAAGAGGTTGTAAGATTTTATTTTTTTGTTAGAGTAGGAGCCTGGGGGTGGTATGGGTGGCAATGCTAATGACAATGATGACAAGAACAACTTGATAAGATGTCAAGCATTATGCTAAGCTCTTTAAACATATACCTCACTGATCATTACAGTAATTATATGAGATAGGTACTCTTATTATCCCTGTTTTACAAAGGACAAAGCAACTGAGGCACACACAGCTACAGAAGATGAGGCAACTGAAAACCACACAGCTGGCAAGTGCTAAAGATATAAATGCTGACTCATCATGACTTCAAAACTCCACACTTTTAACCACAGTGATAGAATACTGTACATGGGCTGCCTGCATCATCAGGGGATTAGACAGGTAAAATAAAATCCACTCCCTCTTACATCATGTTTCTAGCCTAACCTAGCCTTCCAACACCCAGGAAAGAAATATGCATTGGAATCAAAGCCAAGCTTTGAAGTAGGTAGTTTTCTCTTTATAAGGTAACGGGAAAGGTCACCTGCTCAAAGACATCCACCCCACCACCTGCTATTCCATCAGAGACAGGTTCCTTTGTCTGAAAGATTTGTGACTTTTCAGCCATCCTTCAGAAAATGTCAATGCCTAGAGAAATAAGAGCTATTACTTTAAAAGGTATCAAAGTAACTAACTGCTAAAATAAAGTTAAGCAAACAGGACTCCATAAATTATGGTAGGGTCTCAATGATACAAAATTGCAGAAAGGCCCTGAAAAGAAAGATAGGCAGCAACTTTCACCAACCTCTAAATCTTGAAGAAAGTTAATCCTGACTACAGTCAGTGGAAGATGTCAAGATTGATCTGTATGACAATTTATTTTTTAAAAGGCTAAATTCAAATAACCAATTATTTATTTTCATATAGTACCTGGTGAACCTTAATTTTACTGCTTTTAATTGATTAGTTGGTGTGTCCTAGAAAGAGTCTAAGATGGCCCCAAGCTTGGCTGCTTTCCTTTCCCATTCAGGCCAGCCTAATTTATCCTCACATTTCCCATCTCAGAAATAAAGTAGTCTACCACCAAGTCATGTCTCATGCTGTTTATCCTGCCAGAAACATCTTCTCTCCTCTTATTCACCAGTCTATAGCTTCCTCAGAGCACAATCCAGAACTTGGCACCTGCTTGAAGCCCTCCCTTAATTCACTCCATTGGGCTCATATCACCTCAACCAAGTAGCCCTCCAGGAATGTATCTGTATACTCCATAAACAGATGTACCTGCTGGACAAAATATTGGGAGAAAGATTTACATTTCACAGTTTTATCTGTCCTTTCCTCTCTTCCAGATTGTTGGCTCAATAGTACAGATGCATTTGTTTCTTTTTGTGATTATACTTTCATGTGCTCTATCCACAGTGGGTACCATTTCAGTATGTGTGATTTAGCCTAACAGTACTTCAAAGCTGAGTACATTGGCATTTTCAACCCTTAACACCTAAAACTACGGCTTAAATTTTGAATTAAAGTTGAAAAACCAGTGAATATAGTATTTTATTTCTTTCTGGAATGTGCCCTGATCCCTTGTACCTTAAGGCTTATGTACATTCTGTTTCCTTTGCCTAAAATATTTACTGCATGTGCACGTGTATGCATATACTTTCCACTACTTTCTTTACTTAGTCAATGTTTAATAATTCCTCAGAACTAAACATAATCATTAATTCTTCAGTAAAGTTTTCTCTGACCTTCCTAAGTCAACTTCCCTCGTCAGAGGCTCTCACAATACCATGTATCCTTCCTCTCTACTTGAATGGGTGAATGGATCCCTTATCCCCTCTTATGACCAGTGTCAAGTGTTACAGTCCTTCAGAGGAAATAGTACTTTACCAATAGACCTGGGCAGTCATATAAGTTCCTGAACTCCTGTGGTCCCACCCAAAATCATGGTGAAAGCCCAATTACAGCAGCTATGAAAATAGTGCAAACCTCAGAAAGAGCAAATTTGAAAGAGAAGCCTCCTTTGAGAAAGGAGCTCAACTATCTCCAAAGTAGTTTAAACAAGAACAACAATGGTGGACTCTGAAGACAGTAAACTGAAGAATAACGTATAGAGACAAGCAGCCTATAGAGCTGTATCCCCGCCTTGTTGTTCCTCCCCCTAGACACACAGACACACACACACTCATGTACACACAGACTCCCTGGTTCACATACACAAAGTAGGAAGGTTTGAAGGATGTTTTGGAATTCACAGAGTGAAAACTCCAGAGACTGGAAAACCTTCAACTTCTTGCCATCACTGGGAGGAAGACTGCAGACTTTATTGCAGCTACTTCACAAACCATAATATGAGGCTCTGGTGATAGCCCTGGGAACTCTCTCAGAAACAGAGAGGTAGAGGCAGAAATCCAGACCAAGTCTCTTTACTCCCAATTCAGTGCTGTGCCCTCTGCAGGTTTTTTCATCATACCCAAAAGCATTTTCCTCTTACGGGACCCTTGACCTGTAAGCCCTAAGGAGGGGGGTTCCTAAGTCAAGTTGTAATAGACTCACCTGAGCTTCTCTTCTAACCCCCTCCAACAAAAATCTCCTGTACTCACCTGGCAGAGGAGACAGGAGCCAGCTCTCAGGTAGGCCCATTGTCAAGCAACTTCATCCTCCCCAGCTTATTCCAAATCTAGTCTAGGTAAGACATCAAAAGTCTCATTTTGTTTCTTCAGCTGCCTGTCAGGTCATCCCCTCATTCGAGGAGCAAGGATATTTCTATTAGGTACATGCACCCTGGGATCAGGGAAAGACTCATTTCTCTGAATGAAGAGAATAAATGCATAGCATGCCATTACCCCAAAGCCCTAGGCAGGAAGAAAGCTGACAGAGTGGTCAGCTCCAGAGTGAAGAATTGGCTAGAAAGGCCCCAATAAACCTCACTGAAGCCAGACCAGGTATCACTGGGCTAGGAGCCAACACTAAAGTGCTCCTATTGCCATCCCAAGTGCCTTGTGAATTCCCTCTCACAGAGATTCCTGTTAGACCTCTGAAGGCATCTAAGCCCCAGGCTGCTGTCATAAAGGAAACTAAGGAGAAAGAGGGGAAATATCTCTTACATCCACATCCCTCCCCACAACTCTACCTGTTATCTACTGGAGGAAAGGAAGAGATTATATCATTGGCATTGTGAAAGAAAAAGAAAAAGCAGACCTTTTAAGAACTACCTTACCATTTGGAGAGCCACTGTAAGCACTCAGTTACTCCACAGAAAACTTGCATGCTGGTCTGATGGCTCACTGAGGAAACCTTCTATGGAAGGGTGCGAAAGTAGGGAGCAGGTGGCAATGAGTAGCCATATTTTACCTCTTGTCGCCTTTTAGTGAAGTCCTGTGGACCATCATCTATTCCTAAATCCCATTATTTAAAGTACTATTGATCCTTATTTTCATCTGACAAACATGTATTGAGTACCAACTATATGCTAGGCATTTTTAATACACAATCTCATTTAATTCTCATAATAGCCATGATTATTTCCATTTACTGCTCAGGGAACTGCGTTTCAGAAAGGTAGATGACTTGGCCCACTTATAAGTGTCAGAATTGCAATTTGACTGCCAGACCTAACTCAAAGTTCATGATCATCCATTTCAACCATGCTAGGAGAATGAAACCAAGAACACAAATTACTACAGTCCAAGTCTTACGAGAATATACAATGTCTTCAGCCAATTACTTCACCTTTCTGGACTTCCGTTTCCTTTGTTTTTAGTGGAAGGATTTACTGAAGAGAATTCTAAAAGCCCTTCCAGTTCATATTTTCTATTGTAGTATGACTATGATAAGTGCTTTAAGAGATATATGTGTAAAATACTATAGGAATATCCAGGGAAGGAGGAATTATTTGCAGCTGGGAAAATTTGAGCTCAGGTAAGCCTTTGTAGATGCTACATTTCAACTTCGCTTTAGTAGTGGGAAGTGGGCATTCTAGGCAGAGGGAGTGGTTGGCGTGAGCCAAGTTATGTGAGTGAGAAAGCACATGACATGTTTCAGAAAAAGCATAACATTCAGAGTTGTTTCCAAAAAGGAGCTATAGTTGACAAAATAATAAACTGAATCTACATCAGGAGAGGTCATGAAATCTGTCATCTTTCTGACAAGCAGTGTGAAACAATGGAAAGTTTCTGAGCAGGGAACGATATGCTAGAGCAAGGTTTCTCAACCTTGGCGCTATTGACATTTGGGGTTGGACATTTATTTGGTGTGAGGGCGGGGGCAGGGGGCGGTTTTCCTGTACACTGTAACACCCTGGCTTCTACCCACTATATATCTATAGCAGCTTATTCTTCCTCCCCATCAAGTTGTGAAAACCAAAAATGTCACCAGACATTGCCAAATGTCCCCTGGTGTGAGGGGAGGTTGCTTTCTATTGAGAACCACTAAGTTAGAGGTATTGTTTGGAAATATTAACCTGAAAGGTCTATGTCAAATAGATTGGAGGTAAATGGAGGACATAGGCAGAGAGAGTTAACCAGAGGCCAGGGACACTGCTACACATCCAACAATACATAAAAAAGTTCTCCTCAACAGAAAGTGATCTGGCCAAAAAGTATCGATATTGTCTAGGTTGAGCAATCCTCATGTAGACAAACACCAGATATTTATACTTTAAATTATATTCAAAATAAATCTCGATGACTAAAAAATTAGCCCAACAGAATGGAATTTCCTCCCTTAAGAACGGCCATGCATGGTTCCTTCTTGACCTGGGAAGCAGACTGGGACCGAGGCATGGTCAGTCTTGAGCATTCTGGTATGTTACCCCCTGGAA